GGTATATTAGTATTTTTTGTGGCCTTTCGAATAAAATATTTTTTGAGTAATTAATAATTTTAGCAACAAGGGGTCAAATTGTATTATATTACTAAAGTTAATTTTTTAAAGCACATTCAAAATTAATCAACGTTATTTTATGAAAATTATTTGTTAATAACTATGCCGATATGAACAAAAATGTACAAGATCTCTTACATATAATTATTTTAAATTTATTGATTTTTGGACGTATTACTTGTGACAAGCGTTAGCTACAAATTAAGCTAACCACCAAAATTTGTACTACATTTTTACATGTAATAAAGGTAGATCATAGAGCCTATTGAAATATTGTATCTTAAGAATCTGTTTAATTTGTTTCACTCTCCGCCTTAACACTATATAGATGAGTTTTAAATAAAATTCTAGTATAAAGCACTTTATTGAATTTCCAAATAACAATTACTCGTAATGTTTAAATGTTGCATAACGTCTTAGATAGTAGGTGGAAAATTATTATCTTTGCCAACTATTAATCAAATGCACACAACACATTAGTTTTGGAATATTGTTCTTCGACCCAGATAGAGATAGTTAAGTGAATGTACATAACAGTTCTGACTACGAGGACATTAAAAGACCAACGAAGAATAATTAGACAAACACTTAACATAATAGTACGTTGCAATTGCTATTGATGGTATCTACCAAACTACAGTGACTGTTGACTCTTTGAAGGTTATAATATGACTTGATGAATTTTATTTTATATAAGTTACGTCAAAAAGACCTCAAAAGTTAAATTTCGAGTGAAAATTCCGAAGTATTTTTTAGCACCTAAAATATTTTGTTGAATAATTTAAGTATCTTAGTTTAATTTTTATGTAGTATACGCGTAATTAGTGTGATAGTCATTGTAAGATACAACCCTATCAACTGTATATAGTCGTTCGATTACTATTTGATTTCAGATATTTACTTCTCATCGAATTTAGTTACAACATTAAAATAATAGCACAACGAATGTCAATTACCCTACAATATAATTGAGTGATATTTTTCAGGTTAGGTAGTTATTAATTATTATTTTTCTATAGCCGCTGTCGCTTTGAGCTATTTAGTCTATACTTATTATGCTCTTTCGGTATTATTTAGATATACCAAAGAAGAATGACGATCATTAGAAACCATCAAAAGAAACATCAATTGTTGCTCATTGACGTTTAATTATTTTCACGGTAATCGCTTTACATTATCACCAGTAATTATAACAGTCATTAAATTATAACTCTTTTTGGTGCGCACATGTCGTACAATTCTTTTATAACTTGCCAAGATCATTGATCTAAGCAATTCGCTTAAGTGATTCACTGTAATTACAAAATGACCTTCACTTAATTCACAAAGTAACATTGGAACCATGATAACGAGATGAACTTAATATTTTACCGGAAGCCGGACGTGGCGATGGTAACCGCTTACTTGAGAATTCACGGTACACATATTATTACTTTAGTATGATTGCGTTTCTTTTATAGCAATATAAAGATACATATATGCAGTTACTCATACAAATGACAGAAGATAGATGGCACGTGTAATGCAAGATAAAAAAAAATTTAAGATACTACTTAAGCACATTGGATAGCACAATTCTTAAGTAAACACAGCAAGTTTTCTAATCGTAAATATCGGTTGTTTGGTCACGATCATCATCAATCAACTCAAAAAACATGATTTTATAAAAAAACATGTAACAAAAATGTTGTATTCATTAACACGACGTTCAGTGAATTAAAAATAGAATTGTTTTTTTAGTTATGTCGTTCTTGTTATAAACAAGATGTACAAAAAATAAATTAGTTCGTAAAAAAATTAAACTTTGTACATGTAAAAACCGTTGGTCATAATATTTCATCGAGAAAAAAGCGTGAAATAGTCAATAAATATAATTTAACAATGATTTATGAAGAATTAGACTGAACAAAAGAATATCGAAATTATTATGAGCTTTTTATTTATTTTATTGAGCCACTATCTAAAGTGTATACAATTACTAATCTATTAAGTTGACAATCAAATTACTACAAGCCAGTTGCGGTTTTACAAATTAAATACACATTCGGCGCCATAGAACAGTCTGTTTTTTTATTCTTATTATTTATATATAGACGTGAATACTTCTATCCAATTGTTGTACACAATTTTTTATAACCACAACAGTCACTTCTCACAAATCCGCTACGACAAAAATACACGAATTAAAACACTCTATCCAGCCTAATAAATGGGATTCGTAGAAAATAATCCAAAAACAGTAGCAGCATCAGGTACGATGACCGTACGGGAAACAAAAAATCATTTAACGAGCATGCAGGTTCGTCCACCTTTATGTAGTTAAAGTCAGCTGTTACGGGAAAAAACATCGCCTGGGCGATTCGGTCGACCGGAGACTGCCCTGATTAGTCATAGTAGCGTGGACAAGTCCGGTGCCGATGGGATTTACAATAATAACATATAATGTAATAGGAACCGATTGTTGGTATAAGCTTCACCGGAAAACACGTGATATAGAACGACTGTATTCTATTACCAATAATATTATTGTGTGGCAAGTTTTGTACGAAATGTATTGGATATTTTTCATCTTTAATTAATATTTTATGTATCATCATCAAGTTGATTTTTTCACAAAACTTTTACCTCTAAAGTACAATATTCATACATCGTTATTAATATTTTTTATATTAAAATTTAATCTACAAAATGATATGCTTTGGTTATTTACAGATGAAATGGCAAATATATTTTGTTCGGTACTTCACTCAAGAAATTCGTCTTATTTAGACCGAGTAAAGCTAGAAAATTCTTAGAAAGTATTTTCCTTTATTGAATTTTACCTACGTTAATGTTATGTAAGTTTATATTTTAAATAGCAAAGATGTAACAAATTAGATAGGCTTATAACTCAAAATGCTCTAAAACTTTCTCTAAAAACATATGTTAAGAAAACCATTTCATTGAATAATTACGGGGCGATTCAATAATTTAATGTTATCGGTCATTTCTAACGTTAATGATGAACCAATAAACTTAATTACAATCACATTGTTCCTGAAATGCAAAGGGAAACGACAAACGAATAGATTTCAACGTTGGTCAGATTCTCACGATTGCTAATACCCATTGAATTTTTTAATTATTATTGTTGTAATTTAGTTCGATTTTTTATTTTCTAAGTATTACTTTGAACGTTACAACTATTTTTGAGAATCACTGTGCGGAAAATAGTACTTATCTCCAACAGCGTTTTAAGTCTACTTTTTAGTTTTTTTTTTATTAAATTTTTTGTCATAGAGAGTTAAAAATAGTTATAGTAAGACAAATTGATTTAAAATGAAAATAATAAAAGTTTTAAAAAAATATTTTTTTTTATCACGATTCTAATAAAATGTAATTTAAATTGTCTTAAAATAAAATTATTTAACAATTGATCATTAAATAAATAAAGTCAGTCATTTACGAGATTTAAATGATTAATGAGCATATTGACACAATACAAATTTGATTAATCGTAGTCTTTATTAAATTGCGTTTCATCGATTGAAATGGAATTTATAATATAGTAATAACAATTCGACTAACATGATTTCAATTTCTTATAAAAATTCTGTATAAAAAATTACTATGAAATGTATCCTCAAAAAATATTATGAATAATATTCTTTATAATTTTTATTTCTAAATTTAAATAAAATCAACAATTTTAATGTAAATAATATTTTTTCAACGAATCTAAAAGAGAAGTATTTATTGGTGATGGGAAATATCGAATAGTAACTATCGAACTATTCGATAGGCATTCAAAAACTATTCGAATAGTTAAAAAAATATTTGATATTTTATGCTAAAAATAAAATATTCGGTGGTATAAACACAATTTGAATAGTTAAAATATTAAAATATTTGAAAATGCCCATCATTAATTTATTTTATTATTAATTGTTTTCTATTTATAACCATAGTACCCTGAATAAACAGTTTTAAACAATCCTATTTAGAATGTTAGTGTTATTAAAACAGCAAAACTATATATCTGACTATAATTTTACATAAGACCAATATTTTAGAAAATTTAATTTTACATATTTTTTTATACGAAACATTTTCTTATAAAATAATTATTTCGAAAATTAAGAATGATTTATATTAAAAAAAGGAATTTTAGCAAATTATTTTTTATTTTATTTTTTTGAGCAAGTAAAAATAATTTCAGAAAATTTTTGTAAATACCATTTTAGAATAAAATTTTATAATAATTTATATTCTATACATTATGTTATGCTAAGTGTGTTAGTTTTAAAAATAATAATCAAAAACTGAAAAATTACCTTTTTGAGCGAAATTTCAACCCCGATTCGGACTTGAAAGGGGTAAGTTATCAAAACCAAAATTTACATAAATAACTTTCATATAATAAAAAACAAAATTGGTGGGTATGGAGATCGATCAATCAAAGTTAATAAAATAAGTGCCACCCTAATATATACCTGCGACTCATCCCAGTTCATTTTTTAAAATGTTATAAATTCTCAAATAATAGTAAAATGGTACTTTTTACTATTATGAATTAGATAATATTTTATTTTAAGTATTCGTTAATTATCTTCTTATTATAATTAAATGTACTTAATAAAAATTTTAGATAGAACTAATCAAATATTTTTTGAAACCATTCGCTAGCCCATTCGAATATTTTTTAATACTATTCGATAGTTTATTTGAATAGTTTTAAAAACTCTTTAATAGTTTATGCTAAAAACACACTATTCGGTTGTATAAAAACAATTCGAATAGTTTAAAATATTCGAAAATGCTCATCATTAGTATATATGTATTATTACCGATATTAATATAATTTTGTATTTTAGGTATATTACACTAATATTTTCTTGAAAATACTTCGTTAAAAACAAAATAACAAGCAAAAGAAACTTCAACGAAAAATGATAACATACCTCCAACATCAGCGTTAGTTATTGTAACCCAAAAGTCAATTGTCTTTTCAGGTCCTAGTTCTTCATAGTCCCACTTCTTCTTGACACGTACAGCGCCGTACGGTTCAACCGTGACCCAAGGATTTTCGTCTCGGATTTTGAACGTTTCTTTTTCAGTCTCTTTTTCTAACGGAAATACACTATGACCTTCTTGTTCCCCGTCGGTTTCAGTGAATTCAATTCTTTTTGTGGGTCTTACAGCTCTAGTTACACGTCGTTTGTAGATACGATGTTCGGTACCAGCAGGATCATCATAAGAGGTCAAATCTTGCACTAACAGATCATCATCAAGTACAACATAATCGTATTGAATCCAGACGCGAGTAGGCTCGAAAGAACTTCTTGAAGGTGATCTTAAGTCGTGAGCTGATACTAAAAATTGACACTCGAAGTATTCGCGAGCCCTGAGCACGTCTTCAGATACAAGCAACTCGCCCGTCTGCGGCACCACCACAACAGCTGCGCTTGGTGACATCAACTTATATGCAATATGATCGCCATCAGCGTCTGTAGCAAAAATTCGTCCGACATTTGTATACCTTCCTGGTCCAATACCTGCCATTGATCCATTATCAAAGCCTAAACTAAACGCATCAATAGTAAATCGATAAAGGGTTTGAGCAAAAACAGGAGAGTTATCATTCTCATCCAGAACTTCAACATGTATTTTAGTATATGCCTTATCGATACCACTACCGTCGGCCGCCTGCACTATTAAATCATAAAATGATTTCTGTTCACGATCAAGCGGCTTTTTAGTCACTAGGTGGACACCTTTATAGTAAGACTTGTTAGTAATATTTCCAGCAATATTTTCGGCCGTCTTCAATGTAAAAGCGCCATCGTCGTTTCCATCTACTATGGCGTACCGTATCGGAAGACCTGCTACCCCTTCACCGAATGCGTGCAGAACTGGTATTCCCTTAACACGAGTTCCAGCAGGTTTGTTCTCCATGACCTTTCCATCTGGATAAGCATCATCTGAAAACCGAAGCATTTCTCGTTTCTCTAATACAAAAACTCGCATGTTATGATTGATAGTAGCATTTGGCGATTCTTCCAATATAACCAAATCAACAGGTTTCTTAACTAGCAATCCCAAATCTGTAGTAGTCATAAGCAGACCGTCCTTGAGCACAGAGAAAAATTGAGAAAATCCAGTTTCCAATAATCGAAAGTACGCGTACTTATTATCACTAGAAAATTGTTTGATACCAAACCCAGGATAGATATCACTAGGAAGTATCGCAATATTATGATGCATATGAGGTGATAACGTGCCACTTTCGCAATCAGCTCGTGACATTTGGCAAGCCAATACTAAAGCTGTCGCCAGAATGGCGATACTCCACGTTGCCATTATTTTCTTTATGTCTGCTCCTTTAAAATCTAAGCAACCAACCAAACTGCAACAAATAAAGAATAATATTAATAAAACAATTAGATTTATCAAATTAAATTATTATATAGAGAATATAATAGTTTAATACAAATTAAAATATAGAATAAAAATTGACTAAATGGAAAAGTTTATTTGATGTTATTTAAAACATTTAAAACACAAAATGTTCAGAAACAATTAATAATTTTGCTTACAAGGCTAAATAAGATTACGTTTGAATTAAACTTTTATAATTATTATATTAATTAGAAATGTTAATAAAATTCAAAAGGCCTAAGTTGCCTAGCATATTGCTCTGCAATTTTCTTCATCCCTACAGTTCAAAAAATTAAATATCACGAATGACAAATGTTTTTAAACAAAAAAATTTGGAATTTTTATTGACAGCCAACATTGCGAAGATAAAGACGAAAATCTACCCTATCGCAATTTTGATGTGCTATTTTAATTAAATATTCTGACATTGATTCAGTTTATATTAAATTATAAATATAAACTAAATAATAAAACACATTATCACACGATATTATGAACTTTATTAAGAATTCAACCAATAAATACTTATAAATAATAATTGTTATTACTAATTATATTATATAAGCGTAAGGTATATTTTATAAGCTCAAAAAACAATTTATTTGGTTAAAATGACTTAGCTATGACTTTTTAATTTTTAATAAATGCTTTATTGTGAATTTGATTACTATTATTTAATTTTGGCCAGAGCCAAAAACTAGAGATTAGTTGGGACCTTAAAAACATGGCTTGATCAGATCCGAATTTATTTTCGAAGCCTGAATTGACCCAACTAGAATATATATGTAAATTTTTATGCTTAGGCCAGTCCTAATACATAAAATGAAAACTATTCATTTAAAAAGTACCATAATTATAAATAAAAGGTTATACTTTTTTAAGTTTTATTCGTTAAATTCTATTTTCAAAGAAATTAATCAATCATTTGTTTTTTTTTTAAGTATTTTATAGTTTTATATTTATTGTATGATTTATTTAAAAAATATATACTATATTACTAGAAACTGATGTTTAAAGATGTCAATTTTCATTTACCAAAAAATTATATTTTTATAAATGAAATTCATTATCACAATAGTAAGTTATATTTTATTCATTGTTTAATCAGTAATAAAAATTATTTTGAAAAATATGTTTTTTTGGATAAGTTATTTTTGTTTATTAAAAATATTAAGCAATTGACTAGACACTCCAGTTGTATATTATTTGTTTTGAACTATAATTTAAAAAATAACTTTGGAGATAAATCAATTTAATCTAAAGATATCAGATATCGGATGGACAAGTCTTTTGGCCGAGCTAATCCGGCTCGAACTAATCTCTGGCTAGAAACAAATCAGTGCCTAAAACCCACAACCATATTAAGGTTCATGAAGATAATTATTAGAAAAGGCTTTAACAAGATATAGTGAAATCTAATACTAAATTCTTCAATTTTTGCATGAAATTATAAAAACCCATGTCATACCAATTTCTCAATAACTATATACTATGTTAATGATAACTCAATAACTGTATACATTTTTTAAAAATAGACTAATTAAATATAAAATTGAACTTAATATATATTACTTCAAAGAATTTTCCTTTAAAGTTTTTTCAACATTTATAACTTAATAATGAAATTTTAAAAAGAGATGTTAAACGTCTTTCTTTCTCATTTAATGTTTTATAATATTAATGTAATAATTTATCTTCATTTCAGCATCCTCATTTTTTTTAATCCACAAGACTTATTATGTATAATCCGTTTATGATAGTTGTACTGTAACAACAATGTATCATGGAGAAGGACTTTATGTGGTTGTTTACCTACCTGAAACAACTAGACTGAATTATAATACTATATGATTTTTTGAGCCCCCTACAGAGACATCCTCGGGTTTATACTACGTGTGGGTGTATAACAGAACTATATGAAGTAACGTTTTAATAATTTCGGGGTATTTTTCTGTGGTATATAAGATGTGTTTACATTTTAGGTTTTCATTTCATTTAATAAAAGAGATTACTAATACTACGTAATTTATTGCATATGAAGATGCTCCGGAGTTTGTCGAATTATAAAATATCAATAGAAGTAGGCAAAAGTAAATTACAAAAATAAATTATGAAAAATGGTTTTTTACACTCAAACTGTAATGGAAATAATTCTAAGTATAAGGGATAATGTCAAAAACTTTTTGAAGTATAGGTTAAGACTTTGATATTAAGGGGTACTCTCAATTATCTATGATCAATATTGATTAGTTTTTAAATTGAAGAATTAATTTAAGCATTTAACGTCTGTAAAACATCGTAACTATCTACCATATAAATAAAGATTCAATTGTATAAACATATTATATTTAAAATTTACTGAGTAAAATTTACTACTTTGTCAGAAAAACTAAAGCAAATAAAACATAATTTTTTTAATGGATTACAATATTATTTATCTATTTATTTAGTTTCGTTTAATATCAATGAAAATGTTTTTCGTTATAGGTATCAATCTGTTGAAAAAATACATTCAAGTTTATGTGAACAAGCAGCAACCCTAAACCAAATTTGCCACACATGTAGGGTTGTTTTACTCATTACGTGGTTTTTCGATTACGTTTACATTTAGAAATAACTCGTAAAAGAAAAGTAAGTCTAGAAGTGGTCTGAACCCCAAAAACTAGCTCTTTGCCGATAGTGTTGGTCATCTCACCCCATTCACATTCTTGTTAACGTCCCTCGCACGTTTTCCAAGTCTTATTACCAAATAAATATAATACATGCTATCCTATACAGTTGATATTGATTTCTTTAATTTTCCTATCCCTCCGATAAATCACCCTTAGAACTGCGTCATCATAGGGAATCCCACATCCAAAACGTAAATAGTGTAACTACTTGAATTTTTTTTACATACATGCAGTTAAAAACACCAAAAGAAGTTATATAGAAAACTATACAGACTTTTTGAATAGTCATCGCACTATTATAAGTAAACATTCGTAAATATTTAGTTGATGAATCTTAAACTAAAGTAAAATTTATCTTTTTAAATTCCATTGTGGCTAATAGAAAAGTTAGATTTCCAAAGAATATTTTTTTTTGCAATAACTATTACTCAGTAGTACATTTAATGATTCATTTAGATTATTCAAAATATTCATGATATTTAAAAAAACGATAGTTAATATTTCAATAATTAAATTTAATAATTTCTTTCTGTATAACCACTGCGGCTGGCAAAAATGTTATATTACTATTATATAAAAGGTTTAAAATAAACGAAATGTCCACGTTAGAAATATCTAAACTAATTGGCGTTATACATTTTGTAAAGCATGTCTTGACATTTTTATCTCCTTATAAATTCCCTCGTCACGTACGTCTGTATAGCTCATTTATGTTATACGTTTGGTACTTTTATTATATCGATTATTTGAATGCGTTTCCTGCTCATAATCCAATGGCTACCAAAACTCAGTAAGAATGTCTTTCAGGGGGAAAATAAATTAAATTTCTACCCTACTCTGTCGTAACTACAGCTAAATACTATCTAATAATAAACATTTCTAATCAACTTGGATTCTTTAAGTAAATTATATCACCAATATGACACCACTTTGTTTTCCTAAAAGAGCGATTACAAATATATTTTTTTGTTTGAATTATTAAAAAAAAAACTAATTTTGCTAACATCTCTTACATTGCAAACTGAAAAATACAATAAAATTCATAATTGAAGTTTTTATTCGTACTTTCATTAATACAACACTACATATTATATTCTAAAAATTATAATAATATCTACATATAAATATTATATTATATTATTAATATATATATATATATATACCAATATAATAAATAAGTTACTATTTGAGGTTAAAAAAGGGACGATAATGTCAGTTATAAGTGAGGTTAAATTAACTATTCGTATATTCAGTTGTTCAAATTAATTTTTATTAAGGTTATCACGAATTTTTTTACAATAAACGATTTCAATTCTTACTTTCTTTTCGTAAATAACGATGTATTCTTTGTAATAGAAAAACAAAAATGCTAATTTATAAACAATATGATTTTTTGTACCTATATTTATATAGTCTGTAGATCTAGTGAAAATTATAAGATTACAATAATATAGTTTCCAACACACCTGACCCACGTATAACGTGCCAGCGTGACTAACCTCTCGTCCACAAATATGTAGAATAGACATAAGACTTATATATATATATATATATACAATCATTCTCCTCTCATCATCCATATTTAACCAAGTAATAGCCATCAAATCTTCTCGTACAATATTTTGGAAAATTATCACAATATATTTCGCCCTTAGAATAATATTATGTTCTTGCAATGAGTAATTAATTTGGTGTACACTCAATTAAATCCGTAACCAAAGTTTTTTTTTTCATGTAGAGGTAAATAATAATATTATTAAATATAAACCTACATAAACTATCACCACATAGAGACTACGGTCAATCAAAATCTTCATGGTGGCAACCGGGGGCAAAGACCACCCACAGCAATGCGTGTACACATTAATCGGCAAGTATATCATACAAACAGACCACAAATCAAAATGATTATTATGTAAAAATTGTCAACAAAAGATAATTTAAACTTGTATAAAAATCTTTAGTTTGTAGTAAATACCTGATCTCTGCCCCTAAAAAAAGTCATCATCTAACTACGATCTCTTATAATGTCAGAAACGGAGAAAAATTATGACTAAATTTTAAAAAGATTTACTTGTTTAAATAACTTAAAATAATGTTTAAAACTTGAACTTAACTTAAAAACTTATATAAATGTAAATTACATTTACTTAATCATTTAAATGACTGGAATAATAACAATTTTTGTATTAGACATCGATATTATTTGACTGTTATTAATAAGTTGAATGCAAAGTAGTCAAGATGTACGAATAATTTTGAAACAATATTTGTCTGATCAATTTTCTAGTTTTTCCAGGTAATAGTGATGGTTTTCTAATTTAGGTATAAACGTAAAAAGAAGTAAATAAAGAAGATCCAAATTACCTCTAAAAAAGGTAAATTAAATTTTAAATGAGATGTAACATCATTTCCAAACACTTTAATATAGTTATTAAATCATTCTAAATACAATAGAACATGCGAAAATCGATGAAATTTAAGTTTTAATCAAAAAAGTAATAAACTATTGAAATCCTTTTAGCCAAAGTGCGAGATAAAATTGATAATCCATACATTTTTAGACTAACATGAAATTTTGGTTAAAACAAAAATTCATAATCAATTTCATTTCAACAGTAAAATAAGTCACAACATAAAAATGTATTTTAAAAATTGAAGACTTACCTAAACTAAAGCATACTAATAAAACATAAATAGTAAATCAAGTGTACGAGTTATTTCTGAATTAGCTCTGAAAAGTGTGTACTCCAGTTAGAATTTCCGCATACCATAAAATAGTACGCTGAAGTCTTCGAGGAACGCAGTTTACAATGAGGTACTAAATAAACACCCGAATACCGTCCCTATATTACAATCGCTACTGTCTTTGGCAGCCAGATGTTTCCCCATATGCACGTTTGTGTTGATATTGGTTCGATAACACACATTGAATGTTACATAATAACGTTTGTTTAAATTGCCGGCATCTTTTAAAAATGTTTCAAAAATCACATAAAACATTTTTATACAAATAATATTATTAAATTTGAAAATAAAAATAGATAATTTTTTACTGGGAAATTTTAAGGAAATGTTACGTTATGAAGAACAAAATAAACAGGCAAAATAAAGTATTTTGAGGGTAGTTCATTATCTGAAGTTGTTTTTATTTACACGACACATAAATTAGTAGAATGTTTACAATAAATAATATTTTTATTTAATCTGGAAATTAAATAAAAATAGTACAGTGGTCGTAGGCTAAATATTATATTTATGCATTCTATCGACCACCGAACGAATTAATTTTATGTTTACTTTACATAGTTCATTGTTTTAATGCTTTTCAAAATACACTAACATTTTTTAACACACTTTTCAGTTGAACTTTAAACTATTGAATGTTGTTGATACGTGTCCACCGAGGGTAAAAGGCAAACCCGACCCTCCTGAAAAAATTGGGGGAACGCATCAACCCTCCTATACAGTCTGTAATATTATATTGTATAATTTTAATAATAATGTTCATGCTAAACGTACAAAGAGTGCTTGGACGTCTGTCTCGCGTCATTGTAAAGTGGGCTAATGTTACCTGCAAAAGGGTTTACACTAAGGGAACGTGCACTTGTGGTTATCAAAATAAAATAATAATAGTCGGTGCATTGGTACACTTCCTAAACATCTTGTTAACCATATAAATCAAATAGGTAAGATATAGATAATACTATGACAAATATAAAATAGAATGGATTAATAAAAAATAATATCGCTAATATAATAAACCTGAGTCGCGTTAAAACAACAGAAAATATTTACATCTCTAAAAAATCTATTGATTTTTCCATCGTGCCTGAAGCCCGTAAAGGTAATGGTAAGAATATTAATCTAAGTTGTGTTGGCCGATAGAAACGATTATCAAGATAAAATGTATATAAAATTGGCAAAGAAATATATTTTGACGTAGTTTATACTAAGTTATACTAGTATAAATAAAATTTGTACGTAAAAATAATGAAAAATACCACGATACAAGAAGAAAAATCTTACATTTAGATCTTACAAAATCATGAATCATAACTCACCCACAGAAAATTTATTTGTCAGCATCATCTTCTTCACATAGTATATAACGGAACGACCCGTAAATTACAATCCTTAAGAATGAATCGTCTAGTCACTGCAGTACATCACTCAACAATTAACAAAGCACTAAACTTTATTTTATTATTACTAAGATCACCGCACCCGGAATGCACTGTACGTAACTCCAAGAAAGGCTCAGAGGTTTCCCGGTCCCGCCGAATCGATAATAATAGTGTATATATTATTACAAATCGACATCCCGACACAACACACAACCTGTAAATGATATTTCGACACTCTTGTAGTCAATATTTGGAAGAAAATAAATTTTAAAAAATCAACTACCGAATAAGATATAATTTTTTTGTAAATATTTCTAAAAAAAATTCTACGCGCCCACACCCACACAACGGATGGATCATGTGTACGCGCACAGATAGACGGCACGCAAAACTGGCAGGCGGCAGGCTACAACGACGGCGGCAAAACGTCGATAGCGTCCTCTTTCCCCCGCCTCCGACAACACCGGTAATGGTAACGCGGGACGCACTCTGTACGCGGTCATAAGGCCTGGATGGAAGTGCCAACAAGATCACGGTTGCCGTTGTCCGCTGACAATCTGCGGTGGCGGTGCAGTAACCGTGAACCGGAGTAAGCGTTTATTAGTGTTGCGGATACAGTGGAAGAGAGTCAATAGTGGCGAACGACCATCACCGCATAGCGACATCTAACGGAGACAATATTCACAGTCCCTTATTTATCGTATATTCAGTAGTCATGGTTATTTATAGAATTTATTATTCTGGTGGACAAGAAAATGTATTACACAATATTACCTTACCTATTAATGTATTTTTTACATTTTTTTTTTAAAGCTATAACATTCAAAAAATCTTAATATCCAATATGTTGATACCAAAATTAGAAAATATAAAAACAGAACTTTTGCGTTCTTAAGTATCAACTTATAAAAAAACCAATATGAATTCATTATTATTAATGAATCAACCTTGAAAAGATCATTACAATTAGCCAAGGATGGGCAAGATAATCGAAATAATTAACTTAAGTTAACTATGAAAAATATCGATAAATTATTGACATTAATTAAAGTCACCAAATTATAAATTTAACTAGCAAAGTTAATAGACAAGTTAAAATTTTTTTTTAATTTTTAACTAGTTTGAGAAATGTTTATTTCATTTAAAATTAAGTTTTCGGCTAAAATCTGTTAAAATCATTTAAGAGATCATAACTGAAGAAAGCTAAGTTATTTCAATAGAAAATTAAATAGTTAAGTTAAAAAGTTTATTAAAAAAAAAATTAACTAGTTAAGTTGAAAAGTGGGAAAAAATTTATTTTTTAACTAATTAATGCCCACCATTGCAATTTGCTTGTATTTTATGCTCATATAATATAACAAACATAAATAGAGGATATTTTAGCAACCAAACTACCTTTTAGCCCCCTCTAAAACCCTCAGATTGCGCTGATGATATTTTATACTATTTTTTAATAACTATTTCATTAACCATCATGAAAATATATTTTAATTAAAAAATTTTAACTGAATATGTATTTTTAAAAAAAAGTCAATCAATGTGTAATCATGGGAAATGTGTTATATTTACTCGGTACTTTTCACATGTCTCTGTTAATAGGAGATAAGAATACTTCCACGGCCCCTCTACCAGTCTAGGCTAGACTTGTATATAAGGAAAAAAGATATAAAGTAAGAATAAGTTCTTGAAATATTGGAATATCAACTGTTAGAAGTAGAGGATTAGTAGAAGTATTGAAAAGGAGTAAAGTAAACATTTGTTGTGTGCAGGAAACTAAGTGGGAGGGAGAGAAATCAAGGGAAATAGGCGAGGGTTATAAAATATTATACTGAGGTAAGTCTAATACAAAAAATGGTGTAGGGATAATAATGGATGAGGAGATGAAAAGTAGAAGTAGCTTGGAAAAGTGACAGAATTATAGTCCTAAAATTGATATTCGAGAAAAAAGTGTTGAATGTAATAAGTGCCTATTCACCTCAAGTAGTATGTGATGAAATAGATAAGGAAGTGTTTTGGAGAAAGATGGATGAGGTGATGCAAGGAATACTTGGTAACGAGGATGCAATGATAGATGGAGTAATGAATGGATATGTAGGTAATGAGAGGAGTATATGGAGGGTATGGTTTTAGTGGGTAAAATGAGGCCGGAGAAAGAATCTTGGATCTCGTAATATCATATGATATTGCTGTAGTTAATACTTATTTTAGAAAGAGGGAAGAACATTATATAACATATAATAGTGGGAGTAATAGATCACAGATTAATTATTTTATATGGAAGAGAGAGAGAGTAAAGCGAGTAAAAAATTGTAAAGTTATACCAGGCGAGAGTATAACTTCACAACATAGACTGGTGGTAATGCAGTTGTGGTGTAGTGGGAAGGTTGAGGAAGACTAAAAAAAGATGGAGGGATGTAATTGAATGCGATATGAGGACGGCTGATGTGAGTGTAGATTATGTGGGTGATTTTGTCGAGTGGAAGTTTAGGATAAGATTAGTCGACAACCTTTCACCATTACTACTCCATGCAGTACCTTTTTAGGGGCTACATTAAAAATTAAAATTAAGCTAAAAACAAGTAGGAAATGGGATAAGTCCGGTAACAAAATTCTGTATTTACGAGTTCTTTTTATTATTTTTAAAGCCGTTGACTTGTTAAATCCATAAAAAATATTAAGGGTAGTTTGGAAATGGTATTCTTTGTCTGTATAAATTACATTTATTATGTTATTAATACTATAAGGTAGGATTTACTTATTATTTTAATTTTATAACATAATGTCACTATAAACATATTACTTTGTAATTATTACAAAATCTAAGATTAACTAATCCAGATTGAAATAATTCTTTTTTTTTTTTTTTAATTAATTAGTTAATCAATAAATTAATTAGTTTTGGTATATATTTTTTCATTATTTATTGTGCAATTTTACGGTAGTTCACTAGTTTGCGACGGTGCTACCACTCATATTTATGTCTCATTGTTGACTTCCGTCATATTTCATCAGCAGATTCACATCAACCATCAGATTTAATTTTTGTAATGTTGGTATCATTTAAAATTAAAACGTTAGAATTCAATCACAGATATAAAATGCTTAGTAACTAATCTATAAAACAATGAATCGCTAACATAGCAATTATTATTTAAAATATTTAGTCTGGCATTTATGTGCAATTTTAGCTCAATTTAACGTGTAAAACTTAAGCTGATTATTTAATTAGTACGTATTAATTTGAAATTTAATTAATGTTTTCTTTAAATATGTTGTTAATTACATTAATACAGAGTAATTATTTTAACGTTAGCCACTCGATTTCTTTTTAAATGATAATTATCTTTAGAAAATTATTTTTGTTAATTTTTAGTATCATATTTCTCTATCAGTTATTAATTACTCTTTTAGTTCATCTTATATCTTACTGGGTGTTAACTATTTTTTTAAATAGCAACATGCATATTTAACTAGTTTATAAAATAAAAATAAATTTAATGAAGAAAGTGACTGGTCAATAACTACTTCTGACACATTATTTTGGAAGTTATTACTATTTTAAAATGTATAATATAGGTAAGGCACAAATATGTCAATATTTAACATTAGATATTATTCAACCATACTTCTCCTGTCACTTAGATGTGAAAATAACTCCTAGTATTGAATCAAAAGTTGTTATCAACCAGCCATTTTCCTTATTAGATCATTTTTTATTTTAAAAGTTAGTTAAATATATATGTTGTTATTTAAATTGATACTTTTATGAGGTATACATACATCTAATGTTAAAATTATTACCTTATATATTTAATTTATTTTTAATTTTTATCAAAGCTAATATTTCTTTGATAAATAAACAACATTGTTTGCTTGCTAGTTATTAACAGTAACATATCTAGGGAGCTATAAAAGGTTGACTATATCATCGATCCTGCTTAATTTAAAATCAAGATGAAAATAGTCTAAAAATAATATTAAAATTATCAAGAAATTAATTTGGTCTTAATCTCCCTCCCATTAAATAATTCTGAATATGCTACAACCCTTCTTCTTTTTCATTGCCTTTATCCCAACTACTTGGGGTCGGCTACCCTTACTCTAAACTTTCATTTGACACAATCTCGCACACATCAGCTGCATCATAATTTTCAATAACATTCCTCCATCTTTTTTGGTCTTCCTCTTTTTTCCCTCAACATTCAATAACTTTTCTTACAACTTTCGATTCCTCTCTCCTCATAACATGACTAAACTATCCAAGTCTATTTTCTCTCATTTTATCCTATGATTAACGCTACACCTATACTACCTCTTATATATTCGTTCCTTTCCTGTCTTCTAGATGTGCTACTGGTAATTTAATTAAAACATCTGTATTACTTAAATAATCTTAATATAAGCTTTTATTTTTAGAAGAATTTACCTTTATGAATTATCATTATATATAAATAATTTTTAAAATATTTATTATTGAATTTTTATTAATTTTAATGAAAAACATAAAATTTATTATTTGATTAAAATGTACTATTACTTTTAATTTATGATCGTTAGTTTTTTTATTATCAACAAAGATTACATGTTATTTTTTTTTTTAATGATAAGTTTTTTTTAATTAAATTATAAATTATTGTATAATGTATATCAAGTTGTATGTATTATTCGATAGACTAATTTGCATATTAGCCATTTACTTATAAACCATTGATTAATAAGTATTCAGTTAAACTTAAAATATAAAATTTACTAAAAGATATATCTAATTTATATTTTAGTTATATCTATTATATTATAATATTTAATACAAAAAGATGATTTGCTTTCCAGTTAAGCAAATGATTTGTAAGTAAATGGCTAATATGCAAATTAGTCTATTGAATAATACATACAATATGATATACATTATATAATAGTTTATATTTTAATTTTAAAAAGCTTATTATTTTTTAATGACTGTTCAGACAGTCTTCTAATGATGAATATTTATATTTAGCTAATATATAATGTCCTAATAATTATAATTATAATAAAGGTTATTGATGTATAATATACTTTGGTAACAATTTATTAATTGTTATTTTATTCACAGAAATTCATTTAAAAACAATTTTACTCCATTAATAAACTAAATGATTTATAGTTTTTCAATGACTGAAAGGATGGCAGAACATGATCAAGATTGTAAAGACTCAGAATTGTTTGATGAACCTGAAGAGGAACAATTTTATGTAGAAAAAGTCGTTGATAAAAAAGTAATTGATGGCAAAGTTCTTTATTTTTTAAAATGGAAAGGGTATGATGATAGTGAAAATACATGGGAACCAGAAGAACATTTAGAATGTGAAAACTTAATTAAAGAATTTGAAGGTAAACTAGTCAACAAAGAATTAGATGACACATCATCGTTGAGCAAAAAAAATAACAATAATTCATCATTACCATCAAGTAGTATTGGAACACCAGACAAAAGTACAGGATTTGATCGTGGACTAGAGCCTGAGAGAATATTAGGTGCTACTAATTGTACCGGTAAACTTATGTTTTTTCTTAAATGGAAAGGACTTAATAATGCCGAACTGGTGCATGCTGAAATTGCTAATATAAAATGTCCTCAAGTTGTTATAAAGTATTATGAAGAAAGACTCTCGTGGAAAATATAATTTAGTTATTATCTGTTTTCGATACTTATGAAATGTTATTCTGGTTGAATGTTAATTTTTTTTTTTACATAATTTAATATAAGATTTACTATTGCGCTTGTTATACTCATTTATTGAACAAATGTTATATTATGTAAATATTTTCTATTAGTGAAATTTCATTGTGTAAATAATTGTTAAATTGAACACTTGGTTTTATAAAAAAAAAATTTAATTAATATATTTTTATACTTTTACAAGTTCAGAAATTGAATCTATAAAATGAAAATGAATAATTTTCTTCTCTCATTTGCAAATAATATCCCTTAAATATTATACAAAACTTTTGGGTGAATTTCTATAGATTTTTATTGACCTTTGTCCTGCTATATAATAAAATAAAAATAATTTATTTCTAAAAACAATAATATCATCAATATTAGGATTTAGAAAAAAGAACTGTCCAAGTTACATAAAAGACCCAATAGTAAATACCATTTAAATGACGAAATAAAATTATGTTACAATAATAATTATTTTTATTTTTTTATGATACATTATTCAGTAGGATCTTTTAGGTATGGGTATGGCAGTGTGGGCAGTAATCGTATCTATTTTTTTAGAAGCTTACGAAGATTATCTTTCATAATATGATAATTCGAAAAAAAATTCGGTGAAGTCGGAACCAAACATTGTGGGTATACGTCATAGTAGACTACTACTAAACATTTTAATTGGGACACCTTTTTCTAAATAAAAAATATTTTAATATTACAGTAAATTCTAAAAGTTTTAATTTGTTTTCGGTTTAAAGAATGGGAACGTTATAAAACATAAAAATACTTACATTAATGTAAATTTATGGTACTAATAGTCTGCTAAATTTAAAAGAAGCCAAGGGTTTTGGGCGGCCTACCTAGCTCGGTAACGCGTCGTGCCTCGTCACCGGTATGGGTACCATTGCGCTGGTCTATGTAGGCTTTTCCCCATCTTCAGCATAAGCAATAACAGAGGACGTTTGATAAAACTAAAAAATATATATTACTGCAGTAGCTTTACTTTTAAATGCGGCAAATAATACAATACAACAGTAACGAAAACAATACTAGATATTCATTAAATTATTTAATATAGTCAAATAATAGTCATAAACAAGAGCTACGTAAAGTTTACATTAAGTACTCATTAATTAATAAAATACACATAAAAAGTAGGTAATAGTTATAATTACTCGATAAAAACCTGAAATGTATATAACATTTAATTTATCTATGGAATAATGATTTATACATTACTTAAGGAGATTAATATCTTAGACAAAAATGATCAATAATTAACTAATAATACATTTTTCTAACATTATCAATAAAATATGTGACAAACTCATACCAAACAGTACATTATAATTAAGCAATAATTTAAATCAACACGGTTAAATATTTTTTGTATCATCTTAAAAATTGGAGAGTCTATTAGTATAACAACCAAATTAATTCAGGATTTATAAACCTACCTAATAATTGAGATTTTATGACATGACATACTTCAATTCAAAATACAATGGATGAATACATTATTTCCATTCTTAAAATGTATAAACAACGATTTTAATAAATATTTACCCAACATTTATTATAAATATTTGATATGCAATAAAGAGCTTCAATTATTGGAAAAGTAAACATTATATGAAAAGATATTTATTAAGAATACAAAGTGTATAATTTTAAGTAAATAAGAATCGAAGTATCAGTGGTTTTAGAAAAATCCATAGTAAAATATATATTTTGTGATGTAGAAAAACAAAAATAGTTATATTTTATCACAGATATGATATAAATAGTAAAAATAAATTATAATAATATACAAGAGTAAACAATATTTTTAATGAAGAATTTTTATATATTATAATTTTCATACAATTGTTTAAGAACCATTAATTAGTCTACTAGTTTTTATGTATATTAATCTTCAACTAACCAATATACATTATCATTGTAAAGATTTATTTACTATAGTTAATATTTAACATTATTTTTAAAATAAACTAACAGTGAAAGAAATAAAATTCTATTGTATGTAATACATTTATAGATTATATTCTTTAAAGCATATAGTTAAGCACAATAAATAAGGCAGTAATATTCAATTTTGAGATTATAAGTTACTTGAATTTAGGTTTTAATATTTTTTAAATAACTTTCATTAAAATATCAAAATTTTGGTTTAAATCAGAATTAAACTATTTAGAAAATTAATAAACATATAAGTTTTAATGAAAGAGGAAATTTTATTTTTGATCTGCTAAAAAGTGAGCAAAATTGAGTAGCTGCCTTATTTGTTGGGCATATCAATATATAAACCATAAATGTATACATAATTTGAATAAAAAGAAAAAACACGTTAATAAAATAAAACTAGCATTATGTGAAATAATTTCTAGAATGATATAAAAATATTCTACGGTTGTAATAATAAAAAAGTGAGAAATTATCAATGAAGTAATTCTTCAGGAAAGAAAATCTGAAGGAATGATTCCGGAGTAAATATTTAGTTATTATGAAATAAGAATATAATTTTTAAGTTATAATTAGAAATATTTATTTATACATTTTTTACTACATTTAAAAGCCAAAATAAAATGTATATCAGAATATTATTATTATTTTTTTTTTGTTTGTAAAAATAATGATTTTTATTTGTTTTTGTAAAGTGTATTTCTTATTTTAAGAATGTTTTAGATGATGGGTTGTGAAAAAATACTAAAATGTAGGGAAAACAATATATTCTAATAACAACATTACACATTGTGATCCTAAAATAGCATTAACATTAGACGTGTTATTTTTTAATAAAAATAGAGTGATAAATGTATCATATTACAAATATCCTCTGTCAAAAACACTGATATAATTTTTATAAAATAAAAACAAATAGTTTATAAACAATCAGGACTGTACTAAGGACTCCAGGGATACATTACAAAATAGTTAATTCTTCCACAAGAAGAGTTCCACAATCGCAATAAAAAAAAAAAAAATTGCAATAGGGCGTCGTAATATATTTTACTAATTGTAAAAATATGTAAATAAAATAAATATTCATTTGTAAATTTTTAGAAGGAGCTTATTTATAAATTAGGGGAATAGACAGCCTAGTACTCTTCTAGTATTGTTAGTAGATAACTTATTTTAATTAATTGATATTAACTTTGTATAATAAATTGTATCTATAAAAACAAAAAACATTATTATTAATTTGTTTTTTTTGTGGTATAAATACCTAAAACAACACTATTTTCTCCGTTTTACATAAAATCTTATTATATAGATACTTTTAAATTATTAATAGTCAACATAAAAAATAAATGAACCATTTTTCCAGTAATTATTCAAAGAATAATAACTTAATAGACTTATTTCAACATAATATATAAATAAATAAATAAAAATGAAACAATAAATCACATTTCAAATAATATCATTCATTCATAAGATTCAAGCTATTTGACAAAAATTATAATGAAAAAAAATATTTACTGTTTTAACATTTTGGTCATTCATATCAGATTAAGCCCACAAAATTTGTTGGTCTTAGGAACCATGTCCCTTTATCAGGGCCTGCAAATAATCTACATATATATATTTAGTAATTATATCATTAATGGTATTAAATAATATATTATAAAAGCAAAATGCAATAACATCAATAAATATTATATTTTTCTCTGCCTAATATAAAGAAATAACAAATTCTATATAACAAAAAATAAATCTAATTAAAATGATAATCAATATTCTTATTTTAGTATAATAAATATTAAATTTACAATGAAAACATTTTGGAATAAAATTTGGTAACAATCATAACAGCAAGAAATGTATGACTATGTAATAATATAATATAATAATAATATATATAATGTACTGAAAAATATCATTTAATTTGAAAACAAACGCAATTAGATAGCATAAGTTTATATGTAAATATAATATTATTTAATGAAGAATATCTTCAAGTATCTTTTTAGTTTTGGGACTAAGAAAAACTAAAAAGTAAAAATAATAGTATTTTTGGTTTTATTCAAACATTTTTTTTGTATAAATCAAATCTTTGGCCTTTGATTAATAATGGCATAAAATTGATTAAAGTATAGAAACCTCTTAAATATATATGTCAATATGTAGGTTAAAAATCTACCTAACTACAAAAAAAAATCCTTAAAAGAAGTATAACAAAAGGAATGAATAATTTTCAACCGAATCTTAATAAAATTGTGTTTTTATTTTTATTAAATAAGAAGTGCTTGAAAAATTTTAAATCTGATAAAATCGTCTTAGATTATTATGAAAAAAAGCTAACTTTTTTTGTTTATTGTTATAATAAATTAAAAGCTAAAAACAAAGTAATAAATAAAATTAATTTAGGTAAAATTTTAAGTACTTTAACAAAAATTGTAAATCAGTGAAATTTGATTCAATTTTCTTAAATAATTTCCATAAGTAATATAACTATCAGTGAACACAATGTTATGTTCTCGTTGATCATGCTTTTTTTTAATGAATACTTAAAATTGAGTTTATTTATCACTCATAAAGTATCATCTTCAATCAATAAAATATACAGTCTGCACCAATATAATAGAGTACCAGAAATAAATGGGACATTTGGAACATTTATTTAGTTATTTATTTGTACATACATAAAAAAACTAATATTTCTCAAAAGTTAAATTACCTATTAAAATATAAAACAAATAAATAAAATAAAGTATTTATAAATGTATGATAAATTATTTGACGATATATGATGCATTTATTATTCAAATATATTTTTGAAAGTTTAATATGTCAATATTACAGTAATTTATTTTAAATTGTTCTTAAACCTAGCATTAAAATAAATTTTAGACTATCAAAATTGACTTAAAATTAAACAACAAAGATCATTAAAAAAAAAGTAAGTTAAATTTTTTTAATGGTTAACCAATTTTTAAATTATATAAAACTAACCAATGTTTTTAATGATAAGATTGCAATCCTAAAATATTAAAGTCTTTAATAAAATATGTTGTATATTATTATGAGTTAATATAACATGATTTTTAGGATGAAATTTCTTATGTTTTACAAACTTCACATAAGTAATTTTTATTTATGAAACAGACTGTATTTATAATCTAGCAAAATAACATAATAATTAACACAATCAACATTTACATAACAGCAGCATTCTTAATTAAGTATTTTTTTTCAAAAACCAGGAACTAAAATTCATCATGTCATTACCATGATACCTCTTAACAACATAAAAAAATTAACAATAATTTATTTTCTCTTAATATCTAAATGAGAAACAATACAAAAAGTATAAAAAAGAGTGAGAAAGGAGAGAGAAAGAGAGATAAAACATGACTAGTAAACTTGCCTCTTGAAAATGTCATTTTATAGAATTCTGAAATTATATATAAGAACACATAATACTGTGATATTATTTAGAAAAAAAAAAATTTAATTCGATTTTCAAATAAATTTAAGTACTTACACTCCATCAAAGCCATAAACTTCCAACACTTTAATTTCAAAATCACGACTTTTACACAAAGGAGGGTTATTAAAAGTGGAACAACTTTCAGACTTTCCATATCGCACATTTTCATCCATCCAAATTGCTTGACCATCACTAGTTTTTTAAATATAAGAATGAGGATAAACATAAGGGTGTAGTATTAATAAAACAAAAACAACTAATTTGATACTTCACACACAGTAAAATTAAATTTAGTACCCCAAATAAATTTAATTTAATGTATTAGTTAATTATTAATATACTGTTCAACATTGTATACAGTTATTTAAACATTTATAAGTATAGTTAAGGTACATAAAGTTAATAATATATTAAAGTAATTAAGTATATAACATTTTTTTATTTAAAAGTACACAATGATTCTCTTGTTGCTAGCCATTTAATATCTACTAAAATAATAAAGATATTGACAAGTTTTTTCTGAATTTTATCTTTGATGTAAAGATAAAAAGGTATCGATTTTACTATGGAGTTCTTATTTTTTTATATCTGTTATCACTTTTTCTGAGCTTTCATTCAACTGATTTTGTTTAATGATATATCATAAGATCACAAATTGTATCTAATTAAAGACATTACCCTTAAAAATTAAAATAACTTTTCTCATTTTTTGTTAATATGGAAAATACTCAAAAAAAAATTAGAATTTTAGAAATTGCAAAATTTTGTTTTTTTTACTTAAAATTACTTTTATTTTTTTAAATATGAATAAATAAAAGCAAAAATATTTTTTGGGAGCGTCTTATATATGTTCCTTTTATAAAGCATATTTATATTGAAAATCCGACCATTAAATGTTTCCAGCCAAAAACACTACGTTCTTTATATATTTGTTAAATTAAAGCTTATTAAACAATTAAGAAAATGACATGTTGAAAACAACTTTTATCCAGTATTTCCCAAGTGTTAAACATTTTTATACCTAAGGAAAAGTAGGATTATGATGGAAAAATGTCTAATGATAAAAATAGTCATACTTGCACCTATATATATTACCCTAACATATATTTTAAAATGATAATAACTTCCAAAATAATAGATCAAAAGTCGTTACGGTGATGTAGGGTTATTTTAAATGTATTTTTTTATATAAATGTACAATTTATTATTTTGAATTTCCATTTTATATAATAACAACACATATAAGAACCTGAAATTTTCAATTTAAAATTAAAATTTGGTATATATCTAAGAGAAAAAATTAATATAAATTACCTTATTCATTAATATTTATCATATTTCACTCTACTACCAAACATTTTCTTAATCATATTATTTTTCATTATACAAGTTGCTTAAATATATATGTTACCGTTTAAAGAAATAAAGTTTGTACCCTTTTAAAGAATAAGGGATGGACCTTAAAATTACTTAATGATTCATAAATAAAAAATAATATGAAAATAAAAAAATTGTGTGGTATTTTTATTATTTTAGGAGATATCTAGTGGCTAATGTAAAAAGAATGTCCTTGTTTATAATAATAAATTAATAAAAATAATATCAACAGCTTATTTATATCAAATCAAAAGAATGAACTGGCATAACTATGGGGGTGGTATGGATGTCCCTTTCATGATAAAAAAAACAATTATATAGTGAAAATACACTTCATCATTAAATTGAATACAATACATACAATCATTGAAGAATAAATAAAAATTTTGTAGAAGGAAAATGTTCAGATCTTGAAAATCTATTGAAAATAGATTTAATTATTTTTAAATTGAGGCTATAGATAATACCGTTTTTACATTATTTATTAAATATTGTATACTTAAGATATTATTTTTAATACAATTTAATATTAAGTAATAAAATTTGAAAAAGAGTTTAAACCCTCTATCCTTCCTTATTTAGTCTAAATATATGATAGATTTTAATAATTTTTTTAAAATTCTAATGAAATCATAAAATTTAGGAAAATTCAATGATTTCTACATACATTACTACATTTTCTAGACTTAGAGCAATCATGATATAGTATAACTAATTCATATAATTATTTTTATCTACTACTTACCCTCCACCAATTGTTATCATTTTTTGATCAGCAGCCATAAATAACTCATTGGCATGATTTACATTATCCACTTCCATACCAACCCATGGATACTTAGCTTTCCCAGGATAAAGGCTAAATAAAAATGTTTCTCCTGTTCCAAAATATGCAGTACGATTACCACGATCATCCTTCTTATTCCTTTCTAGCCATTTTGAAGAACAATAAGCACCAAATACCTTTAGATGGAAAATTTATATAAATTATTAATAATCCCATTAAAAAATCCTTATAATACTCAAAGTAAAATGACTTTTTTATGCATACTTCATTATTACAAGTTTTAATAAGCATAAGAGTAGGTTCATGATGTTCAACCCTCACATAAAAAGTAGTTAAACTGCAGCCATGTTCTTCTGTGGTATAAAGAAGTATTGGTTGATACATAGTTATCCTAACTGGTAGCCACGACCAAAGAGTAAAAAGCTAAAAAATCAGAAAAAAAATAATATTAGTAATGATACTTAATACACAAAAAATCAACTTGCTAAAGGCAAATAACTTTATCAAAAAAAAAAAAAAAATCAAACTAATGAAATAAAACTAAAAATAATAATTTTATAGGAGACTTTAAAAACTTAATGAATCAAAACAGATTTAGAATTTATATTAACAACATAATTAATAATTTAAAAAAATGTAATTATATTGTGTTATTCAACAAAAAATGGTTTAAATAAATTGCATGTATACATTTTACCTTATCGAAATGAAAATACAATAAAGATTGTCATAAATAGAATAATAATTTTAGTAGAACAAATAATGAGAATATTAGAAAAATTATTATTAAAAGGGCTACATTATCAAATTAGCTTTTTTTTTTATTACTGCAAATATAAGAGTTCCTCACATATTTTACTAATTTAATGACTATATTATTCAAAAGTTATTTAAAACTTGATAATGATCAAAATTATTCTTTAATTTTTATTTATTTTGCTAATAATAATATAATAATATGATAGTAACCAACTATTGTGAATAGAAATTAATTTACAACAAATAGCAATAAATAATTATTCAAGAATAATTTTATCATTTAATATTTTGAGAAAAATTTAATGCAATGATAGAAAGTGCAATTTTTTGGGAAGTAATTTTTGTATAATGCACATTTAATAAAGTTAAGATAAAAAAACAATAAAAAAATTAAAATTTTTTTCTTCAATTTTACTTTAAAAAATAAAAAAAATATTAAAAACTGGGTATAAGATAACCAAGAAAGTTCAACTTAATTTCCAAAAATTTAACTTTTGATGTTTCTGAAAAGACAGATTTTATTATATTTGAACTCATTTTCATCAAAATTGTACTTTACATATTTTAACTTAGTCGCCATCAATATCAGTTATAACAAATTTAGGTAAATAAACCAAAACTATAAAATAATTACAAACAATAAATACATAATTTTCACACATTAAAAAATAAAAATATTAAGTTGACCTGTGATTGAATACAAGTAACTTACATCCTGATGGTTAGCTATCAACGATCTTATATTGTTAATCGGATAACTTGCCATCGTGGAAGCTCTAGGGCTTGGCGAATGCTGTCCCTGATTGCAGCATAACACACAAATACACATATTACATTTAAAGATAATATTATATCAAGAGTAACGTAAATTTTAAATTTAGCTATAAATAAATTACAGACATAAAGCTGAAATTAAGTTTAGAAAATATTTAGATGGAATTTTATAAAGAATAAATTTTATTTTCTATCCTAGATAGAATGAAATAGTTATTTATAGTTTAGGAATCACTGTATATAAAGAAAAATAAATTTGCACCTGGAATATATTATACCTTGATTTAGTTTTGTGAAACCAGTTTTAATTTTATAATTTATAACTAGAGATTTAATTGTAAATTTAGTAGTTTCAAAATAAAAAAATATTGAAATATGCATACATTAATTATGCCACACAAACAAATACCTAATAGTTTTAGCAGGTATAAATAAAAAGTATCTAAATTCAACAAGCTATATGAAGCTAAATTTAAAAAAAAATTTTTATTCACTCAGGATTGACCTGGGCAGTACATTCTAAATTAATCTAAGGACAGAATTAAACTAAGTTTTTAAAATTTACTGAAGATGTGATTTTTAATAAAGTTTTTGGACTGAGTTCAGATCAGAGAACTTTAATTTACTGAGAACTTGTCGAGATTTGCATTTAAAAAAATGATAAAATTTAAGAAAATAAAAGAGATTTATTTTTGGTTTATTAATTCTGTTTTTATGGTTAAAACATTTATTAAGTATTTTTTCTATAAAAAAATATTTTAAGAAATATTTTCAGAATTCTATATTAAGTTGAACAAAATCAATATATATAATATACAAATTTTATAGCTGAAAATAAAAACCCCTAATATTACAAATAACTAAAAATATTATGTTTGTTAAAATTTTTTTTTTATATTAATTCATTATTCTCATTGCCTAAGCTAAAAAATATTTCAAAGTAAAAAAAAAAAATTTAAAGGGCTTAATTAAAAACTGAAATGATATGGAAATATATAAAGAGAATCTGTTAATATGTCACAAAAAGATATAATAAAAGGGTTGAAATTGCAAGCCAATACTAGACTTCAGATAATGTTTCTAAGAGCTTAGAAAAAATATAATTTTTGTTTTTTTTGTTTTAACAGACCATTAAAAGCCATTGCAGCTTCTTCGAAAAAGCAGGTTACTAGCCCATTTTTACCTCTGGATGGTGAGTATAAAATTTGGTATATCAAAACTCAAGTTAAACGTTAATATTTTAATAGAATTACTTTTCCACTAGATATTTAATAATTAAAAATAATACTTTTAAATGAATTAAAATGTTGTTAGTTAATATATTATTTTAGTGTATTATATAATTTATTTTATATTTACAATTGAACTATAAATACCTCTCTAATAGTTAAAGTATGTGATGCCATTTGTATGTTCATTTGAGATTGACTAGTGGGTAAATTTTCACTAGAACAGGAACGATTTAGTTGTTTAGAACCGGACAAAACAGTCTTACTTTTCAAAGTCATCTCAGTCTTCACAAATACTCTGTGAATATATGTTGAGCTAAGACCACGAATTTTAAAAGCCACTTTAAGCATTTTTTGTGGATTAGCCTGCAAGAAAAAAAAGTGTAAATATATATATATTTAAGTATGGTCTAAGTAAAAGTTAAAAAAATTATTTATTTGTATTAATTAAAAAATTTAAAAAAAATACGTATGAGCATTTACAAACTGTTAGATACCACTGCAAACTATACAGCTGTATAAAATGGAAAAATTGTACTGAATGTTTGTTTTAATCATACCTAAAATATAACTTATTTTTTAAACCAATAAAAGAAAATGAGATACAACTAGAACCCATTTCTAATTTATCGCAACCATTAAGGAACAATGATTTTAACATTATTAATTCATCTAAAAATTAATTATTAGAAAATCAGAACCAAGTACCTTCTACCTCTTTTACCGTATAGTGTCAATATACAGTCAAACCAAACCAAATCAAACCCTCAAAGACAATTATTCAAATCCTTCAAAATAGATTGTCAATTAAGACCTTCAAGATTATTTTACTGTTAACAATTGCGAACAAAATGAAAATATTGCTTTTTATAAATTACTTTGTATATATTGTGATCTAGAAAAACATTCATTAATGAAGATTATGTTTGACAGAAAACATATTAATGGACAAATAATCTATAAACAATGATTATTGTAAAACAACAAGAAAAGTATTTTGTGAACCTAGTATGTTATTTCAAGACAATAACAACAATTCATACTTAGCATCTGAAGGGTTTAATAACCTTAAATTTGTATCTGTACAATTAAAAGAGCACAAAAATTTCTCATATCATTGAACTTATATTGTTAAATTTTTATTGGAATAAATATAAAGTATCAATTCAAAATGAAAAGAACAAGTAAATCAAATATATATATATATATATACTTGTGAAGTGTCTCAACTAAAACTGTAGAAGTTGTTAAAAAATATCAAAATAAAATTTCATTTAGATGATAAGACAAAATAATAGGGTCCAATAACAATGGCAATTTTTAATGATTGTAGAATTACTCTCTAAATTCGATAATTTTTCATCTCAACTCATAACCCAATTTAAAAATTATTTAAATAGAACTACTTCATATTTATCATTTTCAATATGAAGAAGATAAATTAAGAAATTAAGAAGTTAATTGCTAACAAAATAAAAATTTATTGTCATTCAAATAAAACCAACCCAATACTATTCAATTATTATAGACTCTACCCCCAAACAGTTATCTTTTATTATACATTCTTAAATTTAGATTCTTTAAATCTTTTATAGACAATGCAAGTCATAAACCTGAAAAACTCACATACATTGTTATTGATATTTTGGACTGTGTTGAAATTAATTTGGTTGATTGTCAATATTAGTCACTACATAATGTAAATAACATGTTAGGTTTATATAAAGATTTATAGACTAGAATAAGAGAATTCAATCCATTAGCTTTTAACATGCTATGTGCAGCGCAATCTTTAAATTTAGTAGAAACATACTCTGTTGAACATTCAAATGAATCAGTTAAGTATTTTTATTTATTGCAAAATTTGTAAATTTCTTTTCATGCAAAATATTCAATATATATTTTTATGTAAGTACATTTTACAGTACACAAATCTTTTTTTTTTTTTTTAGAATAGGGGCAGCAAAGTTCTTTTAGCATAGCATAAATATACACCTCTTTTAGCACCGTCAAAATAACATATAGTATCCCCAATTTTTTCTTTTTACTATTTGTGCTTATAGAAAGGATGTAAATAATATATTCATAATTAATTTAACACATTGATCATCTGGAGAATCCATCTAGTTCTTTAAAAATTATACTTTCTCAAGACATATTTTAGAATTTTGAAAAGTAATACTTGGATGCTCTCTTTATATCATATGTCACTGGAAAAGTATTTAGCTTTTTTACATACTGGCATCTGTCGGCAAAAATTCATTAATGCTACATCTACTCCATGACTTATTATCTCTTCAGCCCAAATGGAATTGCTTGATGATGAATACTTATAAAACAATTGCAGTATTGCCATTGATACTCTATATAGAACTTTGATACCTTCATGAAGATAGCAATCCATGACTCTAACCTAAAATTATATTTATATAAAATTTGTCACATAATAAATATTTAAGCTAAATGTAACTAACTGCATGATGAAAAGGAAGTCCTTGAAATATCCACCATATCCAATCCATGTACATTTTTTCAGACTTTTTGATTGGACAATGTTTTCCAATATGACCAGCTGCAGATTTCTATGAATTTAACATAAAAATCTCTAAGTAATTTATTTAAATAGGTAGTATTTGTGAGAAAGTGATTATATCAAATTAAATAATTTGTTAATTGTATTAAGAATTTTCTATTACATTAAGTGGTGTTACTTTTATCCCATAATTAGGTTTTATAATTATTGTTTTATTTGTTTTTGAATTTGATATATACAGAGTAAACAATAAAATATAACAAATACAATAACTTTTGACTAATTTATCATTTAGTTGAAATTTTTTTTTTTTTAATATTACTTAGACTATGTTTAAATAATACTTTATATCACTAATAAGAAAAAAAGTAAATGTAATAAAAATTTGTATTTTAGCCTTTTTTTTTAAAAAAAAAATTTGATGGGTATATAACAACTTTAGGACAAGTACTTATGAAGTTACAAGTATTTTAATAAATAGAGTGAGTATATAACATAGTTGTGTGTAACCTGTACTGGTGTATGTACAGTCCACTTGTCCTAAAATTGTTATATACCCATTAAATTTTTTTATAAGAAAAATTAAAAAAAAATAATAATTTAAGTTTAAATGAAATAAACAATTTAATTTTTTCTTATTAGTGGTAAATAATAAAAAATATGATTTGACTGTAATAAAAGAAGGTAATAATTATTAAGAAAAAAAGATAACTAAATGATAATTAGATCAAAAGTTATTGGATTTGTTATATCATTATGACAATAACCCAACCTGAATATAATATTTATTACATAGTAAATATTATACTTTTAGTCTTCTAAAAAGTTAGTGTAAAAAACTGTTAGTGACTTAACCATCTTTTAATAAAAAATTATTCAAGTATTTTATGATACAAAACATATATTGAATACTTACAACATGCTTTCTACAAATGTGCATTACAGTTTTCCAAGTTACTTCATATAATAACTTAGTTTGAGTTACAAAAACCAATTTTTTAGATGACATGAGACTAGTTAAACTGTTATAACATTCTTCTTCTACAGAACAAATAAACATTTCATAATAATGACATAATCAAATAACAAAAAAAATATTTCAAAAGCCTAAGACTTATCAATTTTTTTTTTTCATATTTAAAATGTTATGTGAAATAAGTACAAAAACTTTGTTTTGTGTTAAAATTGATTATATTAAGAAATCATTTTTCTTATGTAGGAGTGAAAGTTAGGATAGTTTTAAGTTCCAAACCTTCCTATAACAAATTTTTTTTACTTTTAATCAATTTATATAAATAATTATGGAATGAATGCACATGTATTTATTTCTTCCTCTATAAATAATCTATATCTAGTAGATATAAACTATTTATAGAAGTGTCAGAAGCATAGATATTATTTTATGTCTCTGACTTAATGTTCGAGTATAATATCATGTCATTTATTTAAGGCATTAATGCATTTTACTATACCATCAAGTACTTCAAAAATATTTTTTAGATTAAGAATATATACAAATTTGTTGTTAAAAAACCAGTTTAAAAGTGTAAGATTATAAAATTTACTACAATGTGCAAAAATGTAAAAATCATCAATTTACCCCCTCAACGGAAAACTTATTAAAACATTTTTAATAAAAAATGATAAGTAACCTGGCATAAAATGTAGTAACAATGACGCTAATGAATATATTGCTGGACTGTAAGTAATATCTGGACAAGCAAATCCCAACACACATACTACTCTGTCAGTAATATCTTTTCCTGTAGAGTTGAGATGATATAAATGTCGATGTTTGGCATCAACAAATGGTGGTAAAATACTTGATTTATTTGAAAGGTCTAAAAAAATATCAGTTCATGATATAATTTTAAAAAAGTAATTTTTATAATTGTTAAATTACATATATTATTATTACTACACTTGAGAAATAAAAAATCTGATTAAAATATTTCAATTTTTTTTTTATTAAAAAAGTTTATTAAACTAATACATTACATTAAAGTACTGTAGGAAAAATAACCATATATTTATATGTCCTAGAAAAAGAATGTTTGTATTTATAAAGATACCATTACAAATAAATTATTATATAATTGTGCAAGTTGTAATTATAATTATTTTTCCAATAATATTTTAATGTTGTTATCAACAGTTATTTTTTCCACCCATAAAAATCATAAAATTGTATGATCTATTGACTTATTACTTAAATATTTCTTTTATAATTTCAAAGAACTAATCATAATTAAATATTCTTTTAAAAGTGTTGTTTGGTAAAGTAAAAAAAATCAGCTAAAAACTGGAGATGATTCAGCTTGTGATAACGTTAGGGGCAGTTTAATAATGATTAATGTATATAATTTTAATCAGATTTATTTTTATAAAAAACAATAAAAGCCATAAATGGTTGACCGCCAGTGTAAAAATTGGTCTGTGTTCACTCTGATTTATGGGATAAATAAAAAATATAACAATTGAATTATCAAAACATTTTTTTGAAAATAAAATATTGTATACATTTTTTTTTTTTAATTACCAGTCGATCCAAACAACTGAGCAACAAGATCCCAATAGAATCCCTCTTGCATATTGTTACTGTTGTCAGAAACATGTTGTTTACATAGTGCTGGCCATAATTGTGATCTTATTGGATGATTAGTTGGCCAGCAATTATCACGTAATATTTTTTTAACATCCTTATGATAACCAGATACTATAAGATTTTGTATCTCACTATAAGTCTTCAATGTCTGTTTTTTAGGCGTTTTAGGGCTTCCGGGAAAAGATGATGGTGCTGCGAGTACTGTTGGGGGTGGTGGTATGCTGTCTATGTTAACATGCAACTGATAACCTTCAGTCAACATCTCCTCTTTTACTATTGGCAACATGATGTCAAAATTAGCATACAACCACCATAAGATAGCATTTAGGTATAATCATTGCCTGTGATGAATTTAGTTTTCCTAGTATTTGACATTACTTGTGATTTTTCTAAAACTTATATTGTTTAAAAATACATTAAAAACTCACAGTATTCTTGAAGTAAACATGTATCATTAGTATTAGCAAAGTTGTTACAATAGTCTGTCTGGAAAAACTATCAATAAAAAAAGTTTTCCTGCTTTACCAGGTTAATCGTATAAAGTCCAAATATTTTTCTCATTCAAATACACTAACATAAATGACATAAAAAAAATTTGGAAAACTATAATCTGTTTTCTGTAAATTTAACATAACTAGTTTTTTAAATACTAACACACAATTTATAACTAAAAATTCCTTTTTCAATAGAAATAAAAAAATTTACAAGTAATTGATTAATTAAAATATTATATTTATGTAATTGATTAATTTTAATTTTATTTATAATTAAAATTTAACGTTTTTGTTAAGGTAAATTATAATATAGCTGAAAACTATGATTCAATATTATTGTCAAGTTAAATAAAAAAAAATCGTGATAGCAGCCAACACCTTATCTCTTTATTGATTAAATTTTGTGTTCTAGTGAACCGCCGCTGTTGACGCTATCTACAAAAACTCATAACCCGAATGAAAAACAAAAAACAACTGAAAAGATCGCATTTAAACCTCATATAATACAACTTATAACACATTTTATCCTTAATAAATATCAAAAGCATCTTATAATACTAGAGAAATGTTTAATCTGTATTAGTATGAGTTTTCTGTCAACGTTTAGAACGTTTAATGATCTAAACACTATTATTTTTCTAAATGTTCATTTATGAGCATGTATGTAATAATAATACTATAATTATACAATATATTATAGTTTTGTATACTAGACTTCTGTAAACTATATTCTCGTTATTTACGATTTAAATTCCGTTCTAAATAGTTTTTTTTTAATAGTACAGTTTTGCAGAATACATCTGTCAAAATGCCAAAAATAAAACTCTTCGGTCATGTTTACAAGAAAATTTTTTTTACAAATACCTCTTTATTTTTAATAGCCACCAATCACTATATCATATATATAGTTAGTTTTGACAATGAATTATTTGAATACAAATTGTATTACTTCATCTAGTACTGTAATAATTAATATTTTTTTATTTTATAATAACTTAAGCGCAGATTCTGTAGAGACTTGGCCGCTTAAAAAATATAATTAGACACCCAACGAAAAAAAAACCAACACAGTGGGAACATGGCATAGTTGGGTCAAGTATAATGATATCTGACTGATTAAAATCACTATCAAAAAAAACGCTTCGATGCAAATTTATAGATAGTGTTTAATTTAAAAATATGGTGGATTATTCCAAAAGCTACACGATCTGCTAGTTCCTTATTTATATCCTGATTACAAGTTATATATATATATATATTAGGCTGGTCCTTAAAATACAAATTTTCAAAATTCGATTTACGCGCACCAAAAAATTGTTCTACTACTTGTAAATATAAGCTGTGCAAAATTTGGTCCCGATAGATTGACGATAGAACACGTGCAGCAAGAGTGTTAAAAATTTGATCAAAAGGGTAGTTTTTCAATTATTGTGATTTATCTCAAAGTATATGATTCTTACGAAAAAGTTTATAAGAAAGAAATTATACATGTAATTATTTTACATAAATAAGGTTATTAGCAAAAAACTAAAATAAATATTATGTTTACCAGTTTAATATATAATTGTCTGTAAGTTTTGTAGAAAAAAAATTGTTTTACGTGTTATCTGACATTCTAAACATTTTTTATTTCATTCAAATAAATTTTTATAATATCTTCATACAGCATAAATTTATGCAGACAAGATGAAATTTATTTAGTAGGTTATATTACAAATCAAACTGTAGGCAGTAAATTGTCGTCGAATAAACAACTTTCAAGTATTTTATTTTACATACTTAAGACATGTAAAGTTAAATTTGCTTGTAAGTGCTAACTTAGTTATTGTTGAAGTGTCATTATTCTGGCATAAAGCTAGAATTCTGATTAGGAAAACCTCTCTGTATGTATTTACTTGAAAAATTGTACTCAAATTTAAGAGAACTTCAAAAATTGTCAAAAAGAACTACCAATAAACATCTAAATAAAGTCAGTCAATACACGGAACAGTTGAACGATTTATTTGATATTTCATATTCTAATGTATTATATATGATGAAAATTGAGGAAGATTAAACGTTTTTGTTGTTACTAAGACAGAAAAGTAGACCTGGTTGAATGTTAGGCATTGTCAACAAGTTGTCTTTAAAGGAAAAAAAGAACAAAATAAACGTTCACAATCAGAAATGGAATCTACTGGTATGGTGGGGTAACTTAATTTTCTTTAAAAAATTGTTTAAATTGGAAATTTCTTTGTTTAGATAATGTTGTTGAGTTAAATTTTTCTAGTTCCTCAGAGTATGAAAAAGATGATTTGTCTGATTCATCAAATTCTTCAAAAACAAAATGTTCTATAACTTTTATGACTCCTAAGTTACTTGCTGCATTAGATCGATGCAATATATCTGACCGCGATGCTGTGCATTTAATTATTTCTACTGCTGATGCATTAGATAATAACGTATCAAAGTTAATATTCAACCGATCAACTATTTGACGGGAAAGATTATTTAGTTTAAAAGTTAAAAATCTTCCCTGTGGGCAGCTAAAGGGTCAGATTTATAAATAATATATACCAGATGATAGGTAAAGACATCAAGCTTCTATAAAAAAAATTATAATTGATTTGATAATATTTGAAAAAGTTATGGTAGTTTTAAGAAAAAAAAGTGAAAAAAATTTCAAAAATTAGCGATTTTTAATTTTTTAATTTTTTTGGAGATTTCCCCCATTTACAGGGAACGAGGGAATTTTTTTCTATTTTTGAGGGTAATATCTTCTAGATACGATTTGTGATCTTTTGACATATCGTTGAAAGAAATCGGTTCGGTAAGAGCTGAAAAAAAGTAGTAACAGTCACAAAAAAAATATAAAAAAAACACATCATAGTAAAATTAATACCTTCTCAGCTTCGCATCGAAGCTAAAATTAATCATGAAATAATGAAGTTTTATAACATACCCAAGGCAGTAATGAGAATATATCTCTAGAGAACAAAATACTCCAAATCCTTAGAAGTAATTCTCAAAAACGTTAGCACAGTGGGGTCGCGGCATAGTGGAGACATTGCATAGTTGGGTTCAGTATAGATTTAATCTGACAGTGATTAAAATCACTATCATAAGAAACGCTTCGATGCAAATCTGTAGATAGTGTTTAATTTTAAAAAATTGATGGATAATTGCAAAAGCAACATCAACTTCTATTAAAATAAAATACAAAACCCATAATTTTCATACAAAAATAGCATATTTTTGAATATGGTAGCCATTTGCGTATAGAAGATAGGTCGTCGGGACAAATTTTTTTTTTTCATTTTGTAGTACATAAAATAAGCTTTAATTTTATATATGTTTAAAGGACGCAGTATTTCCGGAACATTTTCAAAAATTAAGTTGAAAAAGTTATTTTTTGTAAAAAAGTTACTATTTTAAATCCCCCCAGTGAGCAGAATAAGTGTTAGATTTTCAAAAAAAATTATATCAAATGAAAGGGAAATATCTAAGGTTTCAATACAAAAAAATATTATTTTTATTTGTTCATTTTTGAAAAAGTTATGGCAGTTTTAAGTACAAAAAACATCCCGATAAAAGGTCATTTTTATCGCAAACATTACATTTTTTTTTAAATTTTCGACAGCCATTTGCACATAGAAGATAAGATGTCGGGACAAATTTTTTTTTTTGATTTGATAGTACATAAAATAAGCTTTAATTTGATATATGTTTAAAGGACGCAGTATTTCCGGAACATTTTCAAAAATTAAGTTGAAAAAGTTATTTTTTGTAAAAAAGTTACTATTTTAAATCCTCCCAGTGAGCAGAATAAGTGTTAGATTTTCAAAAAAAATTATATCAAATGAAAGGGAAATATCTAAGGTTTCAATACAAAAAAATATTATTTTTATTTGTTCATTTTTGAAAAAGTTATGGCAGTTTTAAGTACAAAAAACATCCCGATAAAAGGTAATTTTTATCGCAAACATTACATTTTTTTTTAAATTTTCGACAGCCATTTGCACATAGAAGATAAGATGTCGGGACAAATTTTTTTTTTTCATTTGATAGTATATAACATAACCTTTGATTTGATATATGTTTAAAGGACGCAGTATTTCCGGAACATTTTCAAAAGTTCAGTTGAAAAAGATCTATGTTTTTTACAATATTTTAAGTTTTGAACGCCCCCTATATAAGGGGAAATTGTCCAATTTTAATAAAAAGTATGTCAAATGAAAGATGTACTTATAATGTATTTAGAAAAAAAAAATTTGTGCTGATATATACATTTTTCAAAAAGTTATAGCATTTTTAAGTTGAAAATTTAAAATCGAAAATCGAAAATTTTAACACAAAAATAGTGTTATTTAATTTTCGACAGCCATTTGCATATAGAAGATAAGATGTCGGGACAAATTTTTTTTTTTCATTTTGTAGTACATAAAATAAGCTTTGATTTGATATATGTTTAAAGGACGCAGTATTTCCGGAACATTTTCAAAAGTTCAGTTGAAAAAGATCTATGTTTTTTACAATATTTTAAGTTTTGAACGCCCCCTATATAAGGGGAAATTGTCCAATTTTAATAAAAAGTATGTCAAATGAAAGATGTACTTATAATGTATTTAGAAAAAAAAAATTTGTGCTGATATATACATTTTTCAAAAAGTTATAGCATTTTTAAGTTGAAAATTTAAAATCGAAAATCGAAAATTTTAACACAAAAATAGTGTTTTTTTAACTACGGCAGCCGTTTAAATGTAGAAAAAAAATTGTCGGGACAAATTTTTTTTTTTTCATTTTATAGTACATAAAATAAGCTTTAATTTGATATATGTTTGAAGGACGCAGTATTTCCGGAACATTTTCAAAAGTTCAGTTGAAAAAGATCTATGTTTTTTACAATATTTTAAGTTTTGAACGCCCCCTATATAAGGGGAAATTGTCCAATTTTAATAAAAAGTATGTCAAATGAAAGATGTACTTATAATGTATTTAGAAAAAAAAAATTTGTGCTGATATATACATTTTTCAAAAAGTTATAGCATTTTTAAGTTGAAAATTTAAAATCGAAAATCGAAAATTTTAACACAAAAATAGTGTTTTTTTAACTACGGCAGCCGTTTAAATGTAGAAAAAAAAGTGTCGGGACAAATTTTTTTTTTTCATTTTGTAGTACATAAAATAAGCTTTAATTTGATATATGTTTAAAGGACGCAGTCTTTCCGGAACATTTTCAAAAATTAAGTTGAAAAAATTAATTTTTGTAAAAAAGTTGCCATTTTAAATCCCCCCCAATGAGCAGGTTAAGTGATAGATTTTCAAAAAAATGATATCAAATGAAAGGTAAATATCTAAGGTTTTAGTATAAAAAAAAATTATGTTGATTTGTTGATTTTTCAAAAAGTTATGGAAGTTTTAAGAAAAAAAAGTGAAAAAATTTCGAAAATTAGCGATTTTTAAATTTGTAATTTTTTTGGATATTTCCCCCATTTGCGGGGAACGAGGGAATTTTTTTCAATTTTTAAGGGTAATGTCTTCAACTAGATACGATTTGTGATCTTTTGACGTATTTTTGAAAGAAATCGGTCCAGTGAGAGCTGAGAAAAAGTGGCAACAGACATAAAAAAAAAAAAAACACATCATAGTAAAATTAATACCTTCTCCGCTTCGCATCGAAGCTAATAAATGGATAGACAATAATTACCATAGTGAAGTATGAACAATATCGATAAATTAACAGTTAAAAGTTATCAAATTATAAATTTAACTAGCTAAGTTAAAAGATAAATTAAAAATTTTTTTTAACTCAACTAGTTTAAAAAAAGTTTTTCATTTAAAATTAATTTTTTTTGCTTAATTCTCTTAAAATCATTATTACTGGCCAGTGATGCAAGGAAAAGCTAAGAATTGAAGTTAAATAAGAAGAAAATATTATGATAACAAAAATTTTTTTATTAATTTTGTAAATTTTGTTATTGATTGCACTCTTTTATCTTTTTAAATATCTATCTAAAATTAGTTATTAAAAATAAATCAGTTAAAAATCGCATACATTTTTGATAAAATTTAGAAAGTTATATTTATTGATATATAAATATAATATTTGGGATAGGGAAAATTCTTTTTTTTTTAAATTAATCTACGTATGAAACGAATAAAGACATATATTGAAATTTTGAGTTTAGTTTAACTGTTATTTTAGCTAATTTAACTGAAAAAGTTAAGTTATTTCAATAGGAAATTAAATTAGTTAAGTAAAAAAGTTTATTAGAAAAAAAATGAACTAGTTAAGTTGAAAATTAAAAAAAAATTAACTATTATTTTTGTTAGAATAAAAAATTGATTAAAGTAACAAATAATTTGTTTAATAAACAAAAAAAGTGGTTCAACTAATAAAAAAAATTGTATTTTGTATAAATATTGTTCTATATGGTTAAAAATTTGTTGTTTACTGAGAAGTTTTTTCATTGCGTGGAATCAACAGTTTAAAAAAAAATCGAAAAGTATGTTTTCATTACTATTTTTAATCGATGTGTTTGTATAAATGATAAACATAAAAATGTTAAGTACAGTATCCAATCATTGGCGTAAATTTATGAATTTTTTTTTTTGTTTAAAAATTCTTACAATTTTCGGGGCTACAAGAACTTAGGGGAGGCTAAGTCCCCTTCCTGATGAGTATTTGAAATAATTGTTTAAAAAATTAATTATATTTACCAAAATTACATCATATTTTTTAACTTGAGAAACCGATTATTTAAAGAAGACAAGTAGTCGGAATGTATTTCTTTTTTTATTCGTATATAGATGAAACATACATACATAAAAATTATGAAATCATAGAATCATATTTATCATAGAAGATAATTATTCTCTATGAGTATACCGTTGCAGTTACTGAGGTGATCGGGATATTTTTCCATTTGGAATGGCCTAAAACAAGGACCGTCCGCTACTGACAAGAACTTCCTAATTCCAAGGGCCGCAGTTATACTGTATAATAACTACCAACTTTTACGTCATTTCTGTCCGTCTTCTGCAGCGTGTTCGCGTTGCAGTCGCGTGACTTAAACGTTCGACCACCTAAAATATGTTGTGCGCTCAAATAATGTAAAGTGTAATCTATACGTATTTATACAGGCATAGAATTAAACGTTTAGCATCATCTATAAATAAGCGTTGTTAATTAATAACACTAATCAACCCATTTTCTCATTTGATGTTTTATTTTAACATTAAAAAAAAAAAAAATCGATACTTTTTGTAGGTCTTATTGATTATTAAACCATTTGTTATAATTAAGTTCTATTATAATAGTTCATATCCAAGTTGTTAAAAATTATTATTTTTTAATTTTACACATATTTTAGTTTGTTTTTTTATTAATATACTCTGTGCTTGTGTGTCAATATGTGTCTTTGTTATGCGCTTTTTTATGAATACTAAAAACGTTATTTATTTTCTAAATAAATATTACAAAAATATAAGAAATATTAATAGTATATGCTTTATTATTATAATATTGATTATTATAATATATATCTATTAATATAATATTATATGAATTATATATTTATATATTTAGCTTCACCTTTTTTACACCAGTAATTTTTCGATAGGTTAATAATATAGTTTTTTCATACATTAAGTTATTTTCTTTGTCTCAATCGAAAAATGTCCAAAAAATTAAATCTGAGAATATGGATGGACTATTAGCAAGACTTGGTTACCTATCATACACCAGACAAAAAGAAAATAACTGAATATGTGAAAAAACTATAATTAACATAACAGAAAAATGCCGGTATAGAAAAGGAAGAGCTAAATGCCAGGAATTCCGTAAACAACAAAAACAAAAACCGGATATAAACAACAAACTGACAGTTGTCAATAACAACAAATAAACAACATCGATGTTATCAGTTAACAACTGATATAAAAACATTACGTAAACAAGCTAAGCTGACAGTATAGTTACAACCACGAGCCTATAACTATAGCTCTAAACGAGTCCGAAACATCAGCTCATTACTGAAAATGTGGATATATTCGTACACATTTCAAGCAGTATAAATATATATATATATATATTTGAGATTATGAAAAAGTAAAACAAAGCGTAATTTAAAAAAAATTGACTATGGGGACTATTTTATAATATTGAAGTATAAATTAGAATATAGAAAGCTTTACCATATTTCTTTCATCACCCACTCTTCCCAAAAATTATCTTTATTTATGTAGGCTGAAGCCATTACAGCTTCCATAATAACTACTCTAATGATCTCAACTTAATAATATAGTCTTTTTCAATATTATTTAATGTCCTCTCAGCTAAAAAATATTATGATTTTCTTTTTTTTTTTTTTTTACAAATAGTGGTTTCCAGCTAGCGCTCTCCGAACGAGTGGGTGGGCCTGATAGCCTAGTAAGGTGACCACCTAGATGGAGGCAACGCCGAAAACAAATCAGGCATGTAACACACAGGCTAAAATTTGCCTTAAAAATCAAATATGGAAGGTAATCATTTAAAAAAAACCGTTACAGTTCCAGGAGATTCGGAGTCTCGAGGGCCGGCTGGGAAGAGTGTTTGTGCAGGCTCAACTCGATCGTTACCCAACGACTGCACCGAAACCGTTGGACTGTTGAGGCAGGATCTAGGGGCGTTCGTGCCCATGTTACTGCTGGAGGATGTGGAGAGCAGGCATCCTCGGGTGGCATTAAGGCCACTGAGGTTACTGCCGAAAGTCTTGACTTTAACCGCGATCTGGTTGAGGAATGCTAGAGCATTAGGGATCGTTTCTGCAACGATATCCCTATGTCCCGCTCCAAATTCGAGCGGTGGTCAACGTTCACGCTGCGCCTGGATGGCGAAGGGATGGAGTGTTTACCACACGGAGGTTTTCGGTTCCCGAAGATTTCCGCAGTTCGGTAACCTCCATCCACAGAATGATGAGAGAGGACCTTGATACGGGTCGTGGATTTGGCCCGAAGAAGGTCAAAGCCTATGATCCTTTTGAGGGATTGGTGGATGAGACAGAAAGGGCCAACCTGATGTCTCGCTGCGTCTCTGCGCTGAAGGGTGGGAGCGACAATGCGGTCGACAGAGTCGTACAAGCCGCTAGACTCGCCTTCAGCAAGATCCTATCTCGGCACAAGAGTAACCCTACTCTTGAGCCGCAGATATGGATCTTAGGGACGCAGTCGAGGCATATGACTATGCCAGCTGGCTGCCAGTAAGGAAAGGCGGAATCTCAACGAATGTTAGCGTACATCACCCAGCAATGTCCGTGTCGTTCATGCTTTTGGACGTGGAGGAGTGCATAGTGGAAGAGGACGTCGTAAGGGCGATCAGGGATCCTACGGACAACCTGTCGGAACAAGATCGTGAATTGGCGACTCTTCGCAGAAGAGTCGCCGAACTTGAAGGTCTCAATGCCAACAACGGGACACTTGGTGAACCATCCACTAGCAAAGAGACAGCAACGTCTTCAAATGTAGACCAGGAATCGCAAGATCAACTGGGAGCAGTAGCTGACAAAATCGAGGGTCTAAAACTTAAACCTGAGAAACTGAGCGGCAGTCAGAGACGCAAGCTGAAGAGGAGCCGAACAATCATGGAGGGACAGAAGAACCTACCAAAGGAGGGAGACAAGGGAACCGATGACTTGAAAAAATCAAAGGGAACCGAAGCTCAAAAACCTGAGGACAAGGGTCAAGAACCTCCATGTAAGAAAACTCATTGGGTACCGACCTACAGGGACATGGTAACTGATGATAAAAATGTGGCTCTGGTCCTCGCAGGCTACCCCACTAACAAGTTGACCACAGAGCAGGGACTACTCATTGAGTCTTGTGTTGGAGACTAAATACTGTCGGGTACTGATGGAACCAATGTACCAAGGTTTGAAGACACCAGACTCACTGATGGAGCACTTGTGATCAGTACAGCCCAAGAGAGCTCTCTTAAGTGGCTCACTGACCATGTCAACCTGATAAAACCTTAGGACGGTGCAGAACTCCATTTGGAAGCCTACAACCCGATCAAGTACAAACGGATAGTCACTCATATACCAGGGCTGCCAAAAGAGTCCAAGAAGATCTTGGAAATTTTGGCAAAACAAAACCCAGGGCTGAACATGGCGATCTGGAAAGTCCACCATGAGACAGAGGTTGGCCCGAAAGGACAAACTTTGTTCCTAAGTGTGGACGAAAACAGCATGGTCAAACTGGAGGAACTGAAACGCAATCCATATTTTGGAATGGGCAGAGTTTGCTTCACAGATTATGTTGCCAAGCAGCCACTAGCCCGGAAGGATGTGAAAAAATCCACACCTCAAAAATCTGGGAAGAGGAAGGCTGAGGAATCACCAGTGCCACTCGGGAAAGGAGGTAAGGCACAGGTAAGGGGCAAACGGACACACTTTACTCCTGCCTCGAAAGGGAAGGGAGGAAGTGTGTTACGTAAGGGAAAGGGACCCAGGAAACCGCCACCCTCAACAACGGCCACAGCTGAGGGGAACCTCTCCACAGATCCAAAAGGAAATGTGGAGAGCGGACCTATGGCACGGTCGCCACCTGTGGACGGCGGTGGGACACCACCCACAGGGGGGGCTGTGTGACACTGGGACTGTGTCAGATACCTGTATCACACCCAGTACAGCATGC